TATAATCTAGAGCAATGACAGATTCTTTTTAGATACTAAATTCCATGAGAATAAGCATCAGGTCTGTTTTATATCCCTAGAATGTAGCATAGTGCCTGATACATAGTAGGTGCTCAGGATTTGTAGAGTTAATGAATAGAATGCAAGAAGCAAATAAGAAAGCATTGGAGCAAATAAGCGTCCCTTAAAGAGTATCCTTTTTAAATTACCAAGTAGTGATCTGTTATTCAGTATTCATTTAGGATAGTTCTCCTACCTTCCTAGTTTAATTTTCCCTGCTTCCTACAATGAATGAATATTGGTTGGTGGTAGTATACAGGATTCAATTATTTGGTTGATGTAAAATAATGACATCTCTACAAATCTGCAGTTTTTCCTATTTTCCTCCAGATGGAGCTCCTTTATACTTTTGGTTTTTAAAAAAATAGAAAACCAGATGGCATGGCCACTTAACATTTCTACGTGTAATTTTTCCGATTGCCACCCATGTTTTTTTCTATACATCATGCTTTACGTTTCTCTATGTAAATTTCATAAATAGCCATTCTTTGTTAGAAATAGAAAGTAAGATAGAGGTAAAAATATAAATATCACTTAATTGATTCCTTACTTTATATTTGGAATTTAAAAATGCAGGGCAAATTATAAAATAATAAAAAGAGAAAGGTACTATGCAATCAGGGAAGGAGAAAAATTAGATTATTTGTGAACTTCATATGAAGAAACATCAGATTAGTCTTATATACCAAAATAATAACTTTTTTTTTCAAAATAATTTTTAGTTCACTTTTAGCTTCAACAAATTTTATTTTAAACAGGTGTCCTTCTTAAGTTTTTTTTTTTTTTTTTTACTAATTCCATTGCCTTGCTGTGTATAAATGTCTCATTTGGATGTTCATCTAAAACTGGCAGGGTGTCTTACATAGTCAGAATTTTTATATAAAATAGTCTAATAGTGAACATTGTATGGACTATCTGAGGATTCTTTTTGATAGCCCTTACCCTAGCAGTCCAATAATTAAGAGCTTGGGGGTAGATTTCTGATGAACCAGAATAATGTCTAAAACAATTTTTTTAATATAAAGAAACAAATCTCCTTATGGGTACACCTTTATATATTTTAATAGTAAGATGGACAAGTTAGGCCCTCCACTTCGAACTGGAAGACATGTGCAAAGGTTGTATGACAGTGATACAAAATCAGACAATGCCATCAAAAGACATGAGTTATTACCCATTTACAAGTAAGTATTTGTAACTCAGTTTGGTTAATCTTTTTCAGATATTTCCTTAAGGGCTTTATATAATTGAATACTATAAACTTATATATTCCTATATTTTTAAAAAATCTTATTTAAATCATTTTTAAGCCAAGAAGTGCTAAATAATCTTATAGGATCTAAAACACTGATGTTAGATGAATATTTCTATTCTAAATAAAACTTTTTAGCATACCTTTATTTCTATTAAATTTTAACTTTTAGAGGGGTGATGTAGCAGCCACCTTTAATAATTGCTACTATTTTTATGAAGCTTTCTTTTAGGAGTATATATATATATTTTTTAAATATTTATTTGAGAGAGAGAAAGAGAATGCACAGGGTGAGAGGGGCAAAGTAAGTAAGAGAAAGAGAGAATCCCAAGCAGACCCATGCTCATGTGTAGCCGGATGTGAGTCTTGAGCCTATAGCCCCAAGATCATGACCTGAGCTGAAACCAAGAGTCAGATGCTTAACCGACTTTGCTACCCAGGCACCTCTTAGGATTAATATTTTTAAAAAGAAAAGTATAGGGGATATTATGTCACACATAATAGGTGATACTCTTCATTATTTTTTAGTTGAGAAGATGATTATTATAAAAAGACAGAAAACAGGGGATTCCTGGGTGGCTCAGCGGTTTGGCGCCTGCCTTTGGCCAAGGGCGCGATCCTGGGGTCCTGGGATCGAGTCCCACGTCGGGCTCCCAGCATGGAGCCTGCTTCTCTCTCTGCCTCTCTCTCTCTCTCTCTCTCTCTCTCTCTCTCTCTCTCTCTCTCTTTCTCTCTCTCTCTCTCTCATAAATAAATAAATAAATAAATAAATAAATAAATAAATAAATCTTAAAAAAAAAAAAAGAAAGAAAGAAAACAAAGAGGTTTTATAAAATATTCAGTCCAGGGATTCTGTTTTGGTTAAATAGCTACAAATTCCACATAAAACCAAGAAAAGTTAAGTTATTGCCAAGGACACTCTCCTTTCTGGACTGGCTCAGAAAGCCAAAAAGAGAGGCCAGTGGCAACAACAGTCACCATGGAACTCTTCCAAAGAAGTCTTCAGGGTTTTCTCATTTGGGCTCCAATACCAAATCTAGCTCTCTCATTTTAAGATGATGAGATTTGAGTCAGATAAATTACTTACTAAAGTTGAAAAATGTATTATTAAACAGAGTTCACTTAAAGTTAACTTTTAAACCAACTCCTACTACAGAATTCTCTTACCACATATGAAAAGAAGAGTAAATTTAACTAAATATAAAATAAAGATGGGAGAAGTCTTTAAAATATTAGCAGCAGCTGTGTGTTATTTTTAAGTAGTTAGTGATAAATTATGGAAGGAAGAATTTGTGCCCTGAGCCATTTTTCTTAGTACTGTTGTTTCTCTGTTCCCTCTGAAGCATATCTCAAAAAAATACTGACTAGCAGTAAGGTAGAGTAAGTATAATTCCAAAATTAAATCTTCTTTTATTATTGTTTGACCTAGAATAAGCAGATTGCAGATACAGAATAAGGGTAGCACTTTTCAAACTCTGGACAGGAGCAAAAATGTGTTGACCATGTGAGACTGAGATAACATATTTTAAATACTAATCAATACTGTTCTTCCCAGTGTCTTAAGAATGATTCTTGACCTCTTAGAAATTGTTACTAAAAGTACATGATATTTAGTAGTGATTATTATTATTGATACCCTTATTTTTCTCTAATTTCTAAATTATTTTCCAATTATTTGAATAACTTCATTAATACAGTGAGATTATGTGTGTATATCCATAGGTGTGTTTGTATTATCTGTGTATGTCATGTATGTATTATATGAAAATGATAAGATTTCTAATAAGGCTTTATTCTAGAGCCAAAAAAAAAAAACAAAAACAAAACGTTTCCTTCCTATTCCTCTTAGGACTCTCACTGGAGGAATCACAGTGAGATTGTTTGGCACGTGATTTTTTTAGAGAAGTTCCTAAAAAGGTACCTAGCACTTCCGCAACATCCCTAGAGGGGCTTAAGAGTAGAGTAGACCTCATAATTAGACTGTCAGTGGCTGTTTGAGGAGGTCCAGGATAACCCATTCATGCTCTGTGATTCTTGTCAAAGTTTAGAAATAATGTTAAGTACTATTAAAAGCAACTTCTCTTTGAACAACAGACAGCATTGCATATTGAATATAGTAAGATTTGTAATATGACCCACCTAAATTCAAGTGCAAATACTGTGTCCTTACAGTAGATTTTCAGCTTATTTAATTTCTCTAAATACAATTTTCTTCAAGTTTAAAATGAGAGTAATATCTTCTGAGGTTTCTGTGAAGATTAAACCAAGTGAAGTATGCATAGTACCTGGCATCATATTTTGCATTTGAGAAACAGTAGATTTTGTTATTACCTGCATGTATTTTGGAGGTAGCTATTTGGAATTTCCACTTTCCCAACTTTTCTCTATAAGAAGGAAGAATTTCAGCTATAGTTTATGAACTTACAATCTAAAGGAATTTTAAAAAGTATCCTGCTTGTTCATATAACAAAATATTGCGTATCTCTGAAATGAAAAGATTTGACCAAATCTCTAAGGGGGGCAACTAGCTCTTTATTTAACATCTGACCCCAAGTTCGGTAACATACTGTATAGGTCAGCTTGGTTAAGTTGCTTTTAACTGTTCTTTGTTTCAGTTGCCTCATTTCTAAAATGGAGTTATTAATATGACTTACTCCATTGGATTATTATGAGGATTAAGTAAAATTATATATGAAAACAATTAGAAATCTAACTATACCAAATGTAGTAAGCAGCATTTTGTAAATGTTAACTAGGAACAGTAAATAATAGCCATAGTAGTTAAAATAGTATCATCAGCTATTCTGGATGTTTGTATAAATTGCAATTGATATCCATAACTTCTAAGGTAAGTGAGGATAGTCGTATTTTAGAAAGAGGGAACTTGAACACGGGTTGGCCACTACCTCCACATTAGTCAGTAGCATTTGGGATTTGAATCCAGGTTCATCTGAATCCCAAATCCTATACTTTTACCATTGTACCATTATTCAACCGTCTAAGCTTTCTGATTCCTGAAGATTCATAAAGGAAATTCAGTGATGATCCAACAAGAATTCTTCTACTGAGAGCAGATAGCCCAGGCTGTATAGTTGGTGAAATTAAATCTTAAAAGGGAAAATTAATAACCCAAGAACAGGATTTTTTTGTTTTTGTTTTTAAGAACAGTCTTTCATAAATTGGAAATTATTAAAGTGGTTAGGTAAATTTTTTTAAATTTTTTTAACCATATTTCATAATGTGTAACATTATTTAACAGTTATTCATAGGCATTTAATAAGACACATCTCTAATTTAAGGGAACTATAGATTTAAACTTTAAAAAGTTTCATGTAAGGCAAGCATATATATACATACATATGTAAGTATATATGCATGCATATATATACATATGTAAGTATATATGCATATATAAGCATATATGCAAACATGAATATATATGTATGTATATTTATTTTTAGTTGTCTTTATTTACCATCAGGTTAGTGTTACCAAATGCAAAAAGCTTTGATTTACCCTTAGTTTTGACTACCGTTGTTTTCAGATTTAAAATTAATTACTTGGATTTTACTCTTTTGAATTTACCTCTCTACAGCTTTAAATTATTTTTTAATCATGTCAGTAAACAATATAAGAAATAAATGCTTGTTATTCAGTACTTTTTCATTATGCCATCTCTTTCTTCTAGAACTAACATCAAACCTCGAAATACCACACCACCTAGTTTGGCACGAAATCCTTCCTCAAGTGTGCCTACAAACAAAAGAAAAACATATACTGAGAGCTACATAGCCAGGTATGTTTAACTTTGAGATTCTAATAACTAAAATAAAAATATATTTAGTTTTCTAAGGAGCATATACAAAAATATATATCAGGCTATTAATAGAAAATCTAATTTTTCCATTGCTATATGATTTATTTTGGCTTTACATTAAAGAAATAGTTTGGGCATAAATAATATTTTTTCTAAACCTTGTAGTTATTATTGTAAAGGCTCGAGGATAGTTTGTTCAGTTTCACTGGATTTATTTGTATTTTATATCTTAATTTTAAGTACATCATGATTATTTTTACTTCTACAAATTGAGTAGTAGACCTTTTAAACCACTGGTATTGTAATTTTCAGCAGCATTTTAATACATTTAAATTCCCTTGCTGAGGGATCCCTGGGTGGCGCAGCGGTTTGGCGCCTGCCTTTGGCCCAGGGCGCGATCCTGGAGACCCGGGATCGAATCCCATGTCGGGCTCCCGGTGCATGGAGCCTGCTTCTCCCTCTGCCTGTGTCTCTGCCTCTCTCTCTCTCTCTGTGTGTGTGTGACTATCATAAATTAAAAAAATAAAAAAATAAAAAATAAATTCCCTTGCTGAGGCTGTGATTATCCATGTACATCCCTTTTTTATCTCTCAAAATGTTTGTACAACTTGACATTCACTCTGTTTTTAAGCATATAATGAAATCATTCCAATTATAGATATTTTATAAATATACATATACATGTACATTGTGTATATATATAATTTTTATATATACGTGTGCATATATGTATATATCCCAACTTATTCCAGGAAGTTTTAATTAAGGCAATATACAGAGATCCATGACATACAGTGAGATACAGTATTTTATAAAAATGAAAGAGTAGGAAAAGGAAAAATGAGAATTAAAAGAGAAGGTAAGAAAAGGAAAGAAATTAGTCCACAAAATATGTGTCGTGAGACCCTGTATATAGACTTGCCTTTGGCCATAAATTGAATCCAAACTTTGTAGCAGCCAAAGTACAGAAGAGAGGAATAGTTAGTTACATGATTCATGTTGTATTTAAAAAAAAATCATTTTTCTGTGCAGTACAATTAGTCCTGTGACCTCAAAAATCTGCCTATGAATTCTCATAGAGCTACTGAATAATTTATCATTATTATTTTTTAAAGATTTTATTTATTTATTTGACAGAGAAAGAAAGCGCGCACAAATAGGCAGAGTTGTAGACAGAGGGAGAGGGAGAAGCAGGCTCCCTGCTGAGCAAAGAGTTGGGGAGGGACCCAACCCAGGGACCCTGGGATCATGACCTGAGCTGAAGGCAGATACTAAACTGACTGAGCCACCCAGGGGCCCCTATTATTATTTTTTTAATTTCCTTTCATTTACTTTTAATTAATTAACATGTACCATAATAACTAGTTTCAGAGGTAGAGTTCAGAGACTCATCAGTCTTATATAATACCTAGTGCTCATTACATCACGTCTCCTCCTTAATGTCCATCAGTCAGTTACCTCATGCACCTACCCTCTCCCCTCCAGCAACCCTGTTTGTTTCCTATGATTAAGGTCTCTTATGGTTTGTCTCTCTCTCTCTCATTTCGTCTTGTTTTATTTTTCCCTCCCTTCCCCTATAATCCTCTGTTTTTCTTCTTAAATTCCACATGAGTGAGATCATATGATAATTGTCTTTCTCTGCTGGACTTATTTTGCTATTTTGCTTAGCTTAATACCCTCTGGTTTCATCCACTTCATTGCAAATAGCAAGATTTATTTTTTTAGTGGATCAGTAATATTCCATTTTATATATACATGTATATATAAAAGAAGATACCACATCTTTATTCATTCGTCTGTCAATGGACCTCTGAGCTCTTGACATAGTTTAGCTATTGTGGATATTGCTGCTATAAACATTGGGGTACAGGTGCCCCTTTGGATCACTACATTTGTATCTTTGGAGTAAATACCAAGTAGTACAATTGCTGGGTCATAGGGTAGCTCTATTTTTAACTTTTTAAGGAACCTCCATACTGTTTCCCAGAGTGACTATACCTGCTTGTATTCTCACCAACAGTGTGAGAGGGTTCCACCCTTTCTCTCCATCTGCGCCAACATCTGTCGGTTTCCTGACTTGTTCTGACTGGTATGAGGTGGTAACTCATTGTGGTTTTGATTTGTATTTCCCTGATGCTGACTGATGTGGAGCATTTTTTCATGTGTCTGTTGGCCATTTATATGTCTTCTTTGGAGAAATGTCTGTTCATGTCTTCTCCCCATTTCTTGACTAGAATCTTTGGGTGCTGAGCTTGATAAGTTCTCTATAGATTTTGGATACTAACCCTTTATCTGATAAGACATTTGCAGATATGTTCTCCCTTTCGATTGTCTTTTGGTTTTGTAGACTGTTTCCTTTGCTGTGCAAAAGCTTTTCATCTTTTTTTTTTCTAAGATTTTATTCATTTATTCATGAGAGACAGAGAGAGAGAGAGAGGCAGAGACATAGGCAGGGGGAGAAGCAGGCTCCATGCAGGGAGCCTGACGTGGGACCCGATCCTGGGACTCCAGGATCACGCTGTCGGCATGCAGACGGCACTAAACTGCTTAGCCACCCTGGAATCCCCAAAGGCTTTTCATCTTGATGAAGTCCCAATAGTTCATTTTTCCTTTCTTTACCTTGCCTTTGGAAATGTGTCTTGCAAGAAGTTCCTATCGCCTATGTCACAGAGGTGGCTGCCTCTCTTCTGCTCTAGAATTTTGATAGATTCCTGTCTTACAGTTAGATCTTAAATCCATCTTGAATCTATTTTTGTGTATGGTGTGAGATAATGGTTCAGTTTCATTCTTCTGCATGTGGCTGTCCAATTTTCCCAACACTATTTATTGAAGAGACTTTTTTCCATTGGATGTTCTTTCCTGCCTTGTCTAAGATTAGTTGACTGTGAAGTTCAGGGTCCATTTCTGGGTTCTTTATTTTGTTCCATTGATCTATGTGTCTCTTTTTGTGCCACAACTATACTGTCTTGATGATTACAGCTTTGTAGTCATCAGCTTGAAGTCCGGAATTGTGATGTCCTCAGCTTTGGTTTTCTTTTTCAATATTCGTCTGGCTGTTTGGGGCCTTTTCTGGTTCCATACAAATCTTAGGATTATTTGTTCCAACTCTATGAAGAAAGTCAGTGATATTTTGATAGAGATTGCATTGAATGGATAGATTGATCTAGGTAGCGTAGATTATTTTAACAATATTTGTCCTTTCAATCCATAAGCATGGAACATTTTCCCATTTCTTGTGTTTTGTTTCCTTTGTTTCATGAGTGTTCTATAGTTTTCCGAGTACAGATCCTTTGCCTCTCTGATTATGTTTATTCGTAGATTTTGGTGCAATCGTAAATGGGATCGATTCCATCATTTCTCTTTCTCCTGTCTCATTGTTAGCATATAGAAATACAACTGATTTCTGTGCATTGATTTTATATCCTACCACTTTGCTGAACTCCTTATGAGTTCAGCAATTTTGGAGTGGAGTCTTTTGGGTTTTCCACAAAGTATTATGTCATCTACTAAGAATGAGAGTTTGAAGAGTCACTGGATAATTTAATAGATAACTTTTTTCCTCCAGTTTTTCAAAAATAATTTCATACATCACTGTTTAACTTTAAGGCATACAGCGGGATGGTTTGATTTATATATATTGTGAAATGATTACCATAGCAAGTTTGACTAACATCCATCTTCTCATACTAACAACTTCTCTATCTATCATATAGCAGTGTTAGCTGTAGTCATCAGGTTGTATACATCACATCCCTCCTACCTATTTATCTAACTGGAAGTTTGTCCCTTTTGACCACTTTCCTCTAATTTACCATCCCCATCCAATGGATAACTTCTTAATTAAAATATCTACTATAAATATGACAATGAATTTCATAAGATGTTTTCTTAAGATGCCCTCAATGCAGGCCTATTACATGATATCCTACAATTCATAGAAAATTGTTGTGATATATATGTGTTAAATATAAGTATATATGTTGTCTGCTTTTGTTATAAATATATAGCATATACAGCTATCCATTATTCAGATTTAATCCAGGGATATATTTTCAAGTATCTAAGATACTATCTGTCAGTCTTGGAGATTACTCTTCAGAAAGAAGCACCTGTGGAACTTTCTAAAAATGAACATGCCCACGTTCCTCCCAGAGGTTTTGATTTCTTTGGTTTGGATTTTTAAAGTTTTAAGAGTGATACCTATACATAACAAGGGATGAGAACCATAAAGGAATTAAGAGAATTGCTACCTTTGCAACTAGACTGTTTCACTTGAGATTTTTTTTTAAGATTTAAAAAATTTATTTATTTATTTAGAGAGAGTGAGAACACAAGCTGGAAAGAAAGGCTAAGGGAGAGAAAGAAACAGACTCCCTGCTGCTGAGCAGGGAGCCTGACAACATGGGGCTTGATCCCAGGACTCCTGGGATCATGACCTAAGCCAAAGGCAGATGCTTAACCAACTGAGCCACTCAGGTGCCCTCACTTGAGGTTTTGATACATTGTAAATATTAAAGAAGAGAGCTTAATGTTCTTGGAGTCGTGAAGCTGGTTGTAGTATGTTGTTGTATATGTGTGGAGTTATGGGTTTTGAACCCATTCTGAATGTAGGATTTACAGTCTCTTATAAAATGGAAAACTTAATAAATACATATACTTGAATAAAAAGATCATTTCATTCTAAAGAGGTAGACAAAAGAAGTGACAATAGGCAGGTGCAAAAATCACATTAAAAATGTGTTTGAATTTTTTGTTTTCCTTTCTTTCTTTCTTTCTTTCTTTCTTTCTTTCTTTCTTTCTTTCTTTCTTTCTTTCTTTCTTTCTCTTTCTTTCTTTCTTTCTTTCTTTCTTTCTTTCTTTCTTTCTTTCTTTCTTTCTTTCTTTCTTCTTTCTTTCTTTCTTTCTTTCTTTTCTTTCTTTTTTAAATGGTTGATGTGTAATAGAAAGCCCCTGAACCTTGTTCACTTGACTTACTACCCTACCCAGATGGAATAATTAGAGCCATAACAGATGAAGAATCTCACAGATTTCTTTTTCTGGAAATGTGATAGACTACATTTTCTGGATGACCCTTCCACCCAAAAGACCTAGAAATGCTCACAAAATGGAACAAATATCCTTTTGAATGTATAGCTTAGCTCTTAGAAAAGATAGGGAAACTTCCACAGGTAAGTCAATAAAGGAAACTAGAGGTCACATTGGTAAAGTAACCCTGATGCCACACTTATATTTGAGGTTTTCATCGATCTTCCTTACTTAAAGACTTGGGTTTTAATATCATTGTGGGAGAGAGAAAGTGATTTCTTGCACTTGCACTAAGTGGGGCTTTAGAGACTCAACTTTCCCTTCCCCTCTCCTCATGCCGCTCCAAGTCAGGACTCTTGAAATGTCCATCAAGAGCTTGTCTTAGGCTCAGCTAGAGGTGATCCTACACTAATATATGACATTTGGGGTTATTTACAGGAAAGAGGGAATGACAGCAGGCAATGTCAGGTGTTTCTCTTTCTTGGGAGCCCTTGCCCCAATCCTGGAGCTGATTTTCTTTGGCTGTCCAAGTGACAGCTTAGGTGTGAGAGAACAAGATCTTAATAGGTGGGTGTATGATCAATTTAATTGGAAATTCTGTGTCCCCAAAGGGAACCAGTTTCTCTTGTAACAGCCCCATAATCATAGCTTTCAGGTTGTCCTCAGGGATGTCTAATTTCAGTGGGTTGCATATAAGCACTGTTGCCTGGGAACACAGCTGGCATTCCACCTTTTTAAGGTTTTCATTAAAGAAAGCTAGGAAGTTATACCAATGTCAGATGTGTCCACAGAAACGGAGAAAGAGTTCTCCTTATGCTATATTATATATTAAAATAGAAATAATTATAGCTGACATTCTCCTGGCATTTCTGCTTTTAAAGAAAATGCTCCTTAAATGTCAGCATTAAATATGAAGGCTGAGGGACGCCTGGGTGGCTCAGTGGTTGAGCGTCTGCCTTCAGTTCAGGGTGTGATCCCAGGATCCAGGATTGAGTACCACATCAGGCTCCTTGTAGGAAGCCTGCTTCTCCCTCTGCCTGTGTCTCTACCTCTCTCTTTCTTTCTGTGTCTCTCGTGAATAAATAAGTGAAATCTTTGGGATGCCAGTGTGGCTCAGTGGTTGAGGGTCTGCTGTCGGCTCAGGTCATGATCCCAGTGTCCTGGAATCGAGTCCCACATTCAAGCTCCCTGCGAGGAGCCTGCTTCTCCCTCTGCCTATGTTTCTGCCTCTCTTTCTGTGTCTCTCATGAACAAATAAAATCTTTACAAAAAAAATAAATATGAAGGCTGATACAGGATTCTGTTAAATACATTTTGTCAATGACATTCCTTTCTATTCCTGATTTTCTAAGTGTCTTTTTTAAAATCAAAAATAAGTGGTGAATCTTATTGAATATCATATATAAAAACAATATTTTTAGATCCTTTAATCCGTTTATGTGAAAAATTATATTAATAGACTTCCTAATGTTAAATCAGTCTTATTTTCTGGAATAAATCTAAAGCATTTTGAATTGCATATGTTTGTAGATTGTGTTTGCTAAAATGCTCAGAAATATTTACATATATTTCCAAGTTAATAGGCAAAATTGATTCTAATTTTATATTCTCTTAATGGCCTGAATATCAGGGTTTTACAGACCTTTGAAAAGAAATTACAGAATGTTGTTTTTCCACCTCCCTCTGCTGGAAAAGTTTAATAGAACTTACCATGTAAAACTGTCATGAGTCCACTGTGTGTGTGTGTGTGTGTGTGTGTGTGTGTATGTGTATGCACGCCTGCATGTGCCCACATGATAAGGAAGAGTAGTAGTATGTCAATTACTGATTCACTTGCTTTAATAATTATGACTGTTTAATATTATATTTTGTTTGAAGTCAGTTTTCATAAGATATTTTTCTAGGACGTTTTTAATTTTATTTAGGTTTCTAATTAGTAGCATAGAATTGTTCTTATAATTTTCTATCTGCTATATCTATATTATATCCCTCCTTTATTCTGAATATTGTTTATTTTTTTGTTGATAAATCTTAAGAGTTTATCATTTTAAAAGGATCAAATATTTTGCTTTATCTTCTTCATATATTGGTCATTCATTCGCTTATTCATTAAAAAAATATTTACTGAGAGTTAAGTTTATGTTAAGTACTTCTCTTGATCCCAGATGTAGAGCAGTAACAAAACATAAAAATCTCACACTCGGGGAGCTCACAGTCTTATGGAGAAGACAAGACGTAACAGAAATGACATACTGCATGTCAGGTGGAAAACAAAGCAAAGCGGAGGACACAGTTTAGGGTGGCAGTGAGAGTGTCTAGAGCCATGTGGGTTGTAGTACAGGGTTGAAGGACAAGAGAATTTGAGTGTGTTGTAAGTATAACTAAATTAGAGCAAAGGACCTAATAAGATTCAACCTGATGATAGTGATGTGACTTAGAGTGAAATGACTCCATGGATACAGTGAAAATAGGACACATTAGGAAAAATTATGTATATATGGTTTTATAGTATATATTTTAATATATGTACATAATTATCGCAGTGTATATTTGGAGGAAAGACCTCCATCTTTCCTGAGGGTGAGGTTCCAGTTTTCTCTTTAGAGATGGTTTTGCAGAAGGAACATTGTTATAAATTTCCATTCTATTTCCTGTGGTATATGCCTAGTACATTGAGCAGATGGAAAGTGTGGTGGCATTTACTCGTGAAAAATTCTCATAATCGGGACAAATATAATGCCAAAGAGAACATTTAGAATTTAATTATTAACTAAAAGGGATTTTTTTTATCTGAACTAGAAAAATCTTAAAATTGAGATTAAGCAAGCTTTTATGTATACTTAATATTATGTACTGTTTTCTAAGGGTATGAAAACTATTGACAAGAACTTTGTGTTTCCACTTTTCTTCCTGTACTCCTTCAGGCCAGATGGAGACTATATATCTTCACTTAATGGCGGAAACATTAAAGGCACAGAAGGAAATTCAACAGGACACTTACCAAAATTCTGCCATGAGTGTGGGACTAAATACCCTGTAGAATGGGCAAAGTATTGCTGTGAATGTGGCATTCGAAGAATGATTCTGTGAACAGAGTCCAAAAGAAAAAGCTAAGTCTGGAATTTTATGACTGTTGCTGCTTGGACAGCTAGAGCACTTCCTTTAATGATTTTATGCTAAAATTATTCAAAATACTTTTTTCGGCAATTTTTGGAGCATAATTCTTTGGCTGTGTAATGTGTATGTGTATATATATATGTGTACATATATTGTATATAATGAATACCTGATAGCCCAAACTGTGCCACTCAAGGAAATATTCACTCATCTGTCAGAAAATAATTTCAAGTGGAATCATTAACTTAGGTATTACTTTTCTGTTGTTGTTATTAAAGCACATTAAGCATGCCTTCACAAAATCAAATGCTAGTGCTCAGCCCTTCAAGCTTTAGGATGATCATTACTTTGAGCAGAAAATCAGAACAAACGTTTTTATTATCGGTGCTTATTTTCATATAGTATCATAGGGTGGGATGCTTGGAATTTTGGAAGCAGTACATTCAGTTACAGTTAGTTATGTGAGGTCATTTTCCTGAAGAGCTCTTCAACAATTAATTTTATAAATAATTGAAAAGAGAATAAAACCCCTATACTATGTTGTTTTTTAATTGCTATATCATTAATTTTATAATTTAGAGATCTTTACTCATTCTTTAAAATGTAATTATGTAATTTCCTTTTCAGAGACACAAGATTAAAAAATATAAATATATCTTATTCCAGTTATAACTGATTTTTTTACCTCAGTGTGTTAGTTGAATGTATATTCTAATTGTGTCTCCATATTTCACTTTTTCCTTTTTTATAAACTTATGTCTGAGGCATTTTAATTTACTTTTTGCAAAGTTTGAAAATAAGAGGCATAATATTTAAGAGGCATGAAATTCCTTACAAAATTCTACATGTTTATTTCTGTGTCTAAATTTAGAAGAAATTATTTTGATGGATTTTAAAACAAACCACCTCACCCTAATAAATAATTTGGATAATTAATCATTACTACAAGGCATGCGGGTAAAAAGTATTTTAATTTTTTAATTTTAATTTCCCTTGAAGTATAGTTAGATGTAGTGATGAGCTGTTTAAGAGACTAATTTTTCTTTCTTATATTTTATTTTTAGTGTTTAATACTAAAACACCTTCACATCACAGTAAAAAAAAAAAAACACTGAAAATGCACTGCTTTAATGCACAGCTGACTTATGTAACTAAACATTCACAAAAATTTAATTGTACTTTGACTTTGGCTAACCTACAGCTTTTAATCATTATCACTTTCAATGTGACAGTATTTAGTAGTAGATACTTTGATTGTCTGTGCAGCCATGTTCAGTAACTCCTTAGTGGTTTCTGTGGTATAGAAAGAAAAGAGCTTTGATCTTAAAAGATATAAGCAAATCTTTTATAGGTCATTTCTAGCTTCTCTTTTATGACTGTGAGCAAATATAAGGGTTAATGCAGAAATTTGTGGCTTTTAATTTTCTCTGAAATTTATTTATGCTTATACTTTATAATTGTATTCATTAGGTTTTTTGTTTTTATTTTTGTTTTTTGTGTTTCTGTTTTGTTTTTGTTTTTTTCATTCAGGCAGGGGATATGAACTTTGAAGTAATGGGAATTGTTGTTTTATTTACCTTATAGTTTCTTTCCTGACTTTTCATTAATTTTAAATCTGGTTGTCTTTATTCAGTCATATTGACCTAAAAAGAGAGTCCATTAACTACAATAAGCTGTAATTAATTTAGGAGAATAGTGTACATATTAGATTTTCATTTCAATAATATATGTTATTCTGTTCTGTTAACAAATCATATGAAGAACTTTAAACTTTGTTTTCCCTGGAACTGAGCACTATTTTTCTTTTTCCAAGTTTTTTTTTTTTTTTCAAAGACTAGGTAATTTAGCCCAAAGAAGGGACAGATAAATGAACTTAAACAAAATGGCACATGTTTGTTTTTCACAGAATTTTGCAGTAGCCAGTAACTGTTATAATGTACTACATGAAAAAGGAGTTGGTAAAAAATCATCCAATTCTAGAACCCAGAGATTATTATAAACAGTAAATAGGTGAAGTACACTTAGGAATTATGAAACATGTTGTGACAGTGTTTTTAAATGCGTTTTTGTTACCTACATATATTATTCTCACATTGATTTGTTGTGCAATAGTTCAGTTTATAAGAAATTTTCCTAGATCTATGCATCATTTATTTTTATTTATTTTCACAAGTATTTGCCAGTGTGGTAGAATAAAGAAATGATTGTTAAGCTTAAATTAAAAATGTAAAAATTGCTTATATATTATTCTGAAAGTCACTAGCTTGAGAAGTAAGATTATTATGGTTGCTGTTGTCTCTTGTTCACTCTTTTTTTTATTACAAATACTGTCTTCATTTTTGAACCTATTCAATAAAGACATGAAGCAAAAAAAATTCCAGGTGGTCTTTATTGATGTCTTAGCTTTTAGCCAGACATAGGTAGAAAGATAAGAGCACACTGAAATAAGAAAAAAATGTTCAAAGCCAAAATACAGATTTTTAAAAATGAGATAGTGCTTTTCATTGGCAATTTTTTTGTGCCATCAGATTTTAAAGAAATTGCAATTATTTTATTGAAGTGTTTTATGACATCTAAATATTACAAATATATTTCATTTCAAGATTTCTAAGAAAACTTTTCTTTGGTCAGTAAAATATAGCAGTTGAAAACATGAAACATTGTGGATATTTCTAATTAGGTAATATATAGTTTAATGGCAAAAACTATTGGTTTATGATCAATACTTAGTGATTTAAACTATCATATTTAAAATTTTAAACAGTTGTCGCTAGTAGAAATATCAAATTAGACATGTTTGATTTGTACTCAGGGAATTAAAAATAATAGAAGAGGTACACAGCAACAGAGAGTCAGCAGAAAAGTCTTGCGTCTTTTTTTGCATTGCAGGTATATGTATTTTCTATGATGGATATATTTTTATTTATTTTTAAAGGGGGTTGATAAGTAGTTATCTTTCTTTTTTTCTTTCTTTTCTTTTTTTTCTTTCTTTTTTTTTTTTTTAGATTTACTCATTTATTTATGATAGACATAGAGAAAGAGAGAGAGAGAGGCAGAGACCCAGGAGGAGGGAGAAGCAGGCTCCATGCCGGGAGCCCAATGTGGGACTCGATCCCTGGACTCCAGGATCGCGCCCTGGGCCAAAGGCAGGCACTAAACTGCTGAGCCACACAGGGATCCCCGATGGATATATTTTTAGTACTAAGGTTAACTTTTACAACTGACTACGTTACTGAATAGAGCAGTGGAAAATTGTTAAAACCAAGTTAATGATAACCACACTTCTTTTCATTTAGAAATGTTTCAGTTAATTATTACTGTCAGGATACTTATTTATAGATAATTTTGCTTGTCTTATATGTGAATTGCTTTTTCGCCACTAGAGGGTGCTTTTAGATAATTTAATATTACCAGCTTCCAATTCTTATTTTAAAGGCCTCTCTGTAATATATATATATTATATACATATAATACATACATATCTCCATATATATATCATGACATTACACAAATTTATAAAAAATAGTTCTTATTTTTTTGTGATTTTAATAATTCATTTGTTGAGTTTTAAGAACCCTAGTCTAGCTCATTCTGGGTACCAGGGTGATAATAATTAATAGAGATGTTTAGTATTTACTCCTCACAATATTTTGTTAACAGATTTGTGCATCTCAAACATATTACTCAAATATAACCAGGTACTCATTGTACTATTAGTTTAATGTTTCATCTTATTATACAAGAGTTATCATCTTCTTTTAAGATAAATTTTTTCAATCATTTGATCTAACTCAATATCTAATATAGGAGAGTGACATCTACTTATTTTTTGTTTTTTAAAAAGTTTTTAATTCCAGTTAGTTAACATACAATGTTATATTAGTTTCAGGTGTACAATATAGTGATTCAGCACTTTTCATACAACACACGGTGCTCATCAGGACAAGGGCCCTCCTCATCCCCATCACTTGATTCACCCATCCTCCCACCTCCCTACCCCTCCCCTCTGGTAAACATCAGTTCTTTATAATTAGGGTCTGTATCTTGATTTCTCTGTTTCTCTCTCTCTCTTTTCCCTTTGCTTGTTCTATTTCTTAAATTCCAAGTATGAGTGAAATATTATGGTATTTGTCTTTCTCTGACTTATATATTGCTGATCATTATATTGTGTGGCTGTATCTCTGTCATTGCAAATGGAAAGATTGAGAGTCACATCTATTTAAATAAGGCTGAGTGATGAGACCAACTAATATGAGTTGCATAAAACTAAAACTTTATACTTTAAAACTTTATACTTATAGACAGTAAAGAAAAATTCACATGTTCTTCATTCTCTGATATGCTAGGGACCAAAAGCAGTAAATAAGATAGGATTAAGTCTTTACTGTAAAGTTGTTATAACTTACTTGGAGAAGCTGACATATAAACAGACAATTAGGACAAAGGGAGGATTCATTTTAATGGAAATTTATTAGAAAGGACCAACAAAACACTGCAGAAATGTTGAAGATTAAGCTTCTTTCTTACCACCACCAGTTATAGAGCTGATCATTTCCTGCTTTTTTTCTTCCCAGTGCTTAGGAGGAAGCCTGGTATAAATATGAGCAAGAGGTGCACTTCCCCCACTATTACTCGGGAAAAGGCAAGTGGCAGTGGAAAAGATGTGTGTGCAGTGAGGTCCATTGGAATGTAAAATGTGAACTACTTGGGACTGTCCTGAGGACTGACAAAAAATGATGCTGAGTAAAAATGACTAATTCCAGAACTGTTCATCCTACCTCACCTAACTCTCCACTTTCATTGTCCTTTTTTCTCTGCTCAAATCCCTGTTTCTATGCCTATTTTGTATTTGCACCAGTAAGGTTGGAGATTGCCAGTAGTTCTGAGTAGTGGTGAGTGTACTTAACAATAAAATGCTGATTTTCATTCATCAAATCAACAATCTTAAATTATAATAGAACTGAAAACTGCCATGGTGCATTAGGATGAATGCCCTTATCCACTAATGAATGAAATAAAATTTGTTAATACTTTTTGAAACATTGATGAAATTTATTTTAAAAGCCTTTAAAATATTCATGCCTCATAACCTAGTACTTTTATTTCCAAGATATATACTATTTCATGAGGAAGAAGTCTGAAGTACAGAAAAATATTTGTGCAGGCCATGTTTAATAGTACTATTATTTGCTGTGATAAAAATTAAACCATTTTCCCAACCTATAAACAGAGAACAAACTGAGTTGCCAGAGGAGAGGGGACCAGAGGGATGGTCAGAATGGGTAAGGAGTGGGCGATCTAAGCCTCTAATTATGGAATAAGTAAGTCACAGAAATGAAAGGTACAGCATATGGAATGGAGTCAGTGGTATTGTGTTGCACGGTGACAGACAGTAGCTACACTTGTGGTGAACATAGCATAATGGATAGAGAAGTTGAGTCACCATGTTGTACGCCTAAAACTAATGTAACATTGTGTGTCAACCATACTCAAATAAAAACAAAAGGCCAATTGAAACCACAAAAATTGAGTCAGTAAGTTAATAATTAAAGCACTTTCAAATAATTTTTAATTGTATAACAATTAATAAATTAATAAATAAAATCTAATAAAATTCCGGTGTTTTAACATTAAGACAAGTAGTCTAAAATAGTGCCTATGTAAGGAACTGCACAGATAAAGGCTTGAAATATATTCCTCAATATATTGTACTTATTTCTAGGAAGAATTTCTGATGTTGTATTTCCTTTATATTTTTATACTGTCGATTTTTAAATGAATATATAATAATCTTTAAAAAATAGGGTTATGTTTTCAGAATCGCTTGCATGTGATAGTAGTTTGTTTAAAATCACTACCTCACCTTCTGTTACTCTAGCATTCACAAATATAGATGGTAGCCCTTGTGATCAAGTTAAACTAGTTTTTATAATACCTTGGTTGCTAAAAGTATCTGTTAACTCTAGGTATATTTTGATGAGATTATTTTCCCAAATTTCATGCAAAGGACATTATAATACAGTCCCTCCACCCTTTTCTAGTTGTTTATTTTTAAAAAGTGTTTAATGTTATCTTCTTAGTGTCTTGTAGTTATTTTACTTAAGAAAAATAATTTTAGAACCAGTAAGTTTTAACATTTTTTGCTAATATTTCCAAACTGCCACTCCTGGGGAAAACTCCTAAGAACCCCACAGGAAACATTTGGAATTTTTAAATTTTAAACTCTAATTCCTCAAGGGTGATTCTCTTTGGAAACATACTATTAACTATTAATTTGAAATTTTAAAAGAATAGGTTTGTTTTTTAATATGTCTCACTACAAATAAAATCAAAATTCCATTTGAATGGGCAGCATGTATGCTAGACCAGCTCTTTATCCTCAGTGAGGCACTGTATTCACATGGTCTTCCCTTAGTGAACACTGGTATAGTTATCCCTCTTGTATCAGTAGAAAGGTTATTTCTCACTGATGCCTTACCAGAAAACTTCTATGAAGAGGAGGGGCATTATTTCAATGCTTTAAATATTTAACTATAGTTTAACTAGAAAACATTGAACAATGCTAGAAATTAAAATGTCCAAGTCATACCTAGTAGTGAGAAATTCTTTTGATCTATTTTAAACCTAAATTTTATTACTGTCTATTAATGTCTATAATGAACATTTGTTACGTTTGTAGCTAGCATCTTTTAGAAATTCTCTTCTGTTTGGTAAGTTTTTGGTTTTGAATCCAACTGCCTCAAGAAGATCATAGCCAGAGTTTAGTTTTCCATACTTTCTTGCAGCTAGGGAGTAGTCATGTTACCTGAGGTCTGAACAGACCTGGATTCTGAAACAAGCATTGTGAAGAAGCAGCCAGAGAAGCAGTATCTGTTTTCTAGTAAAGATGGTGAAGTTTGCTGGAGAGACAGCGAGCTTCAAAGGTAGGAGTGGCAGGGTTAAGATGTGACTGGTCGGTCCCCTGTGGTATCACTTTGGCTGACTTTCCTCTCCTGGAATAGTCTGCATTCTAAGTTGGCCATTGTTTCTGGCTACAGAGACACCAACCTTGGTTATCTGGCTCTCCTAGAGATTCTGTGAATTCCAACAGCTTTTAATAGATACCTTTTTGCTTAAACTAACTGGACTGGGATTTGTTATTTGTACTTAAAAAGTTTTCAATGATAAAATTTGATGTGACCTCATACTTCCCTTTTATAATATCTGTGGGAATGGGGAAAAGTGCTTAAAATCGTATTCTACCAGAGGGAATCTTCAGTGTCTTGAGTCAAGATACTTTTCTTTATCCCAGTTATGTTGTTACATAATCACAAACTGAATTTTAAGAAATATGCTGTGAGTATAATTACACCTGTCAGGCAGGGCTAATTTGAGGATTATCAGAAATATATATAAAATCTCTGCCCAATGTTTGGCACTTAACAGATTGTCAATAAATGGCATCAATTATTTAGTAGTATTGATAATTTTGGATATATGTGTATTTTACATGTTCATCAAATATTTTAATCCTTATGATGTGCCAGGCACTGTTCTACATGCAGTGAATGAAGCAGTCGAAAATCCCTGTCCCTTTAAATTTCACATTCTAGTGGAGGAATACTAAAAATACAGTAGATAAGTTAGTAAAAATATTTATTATTAGAATGTGACAAGTGCTATGGAGAAAAATAAAGTGGGAAAGAGGTGGTTAGAGAGAGACAGAAGGGAGAGTAGAAGTGGATTGAAATTTTAAATAGGGTAGCTTAGGGTTGATTTCATTGATAAAGTGGTATTTGAGCACAGACCTGAAAGAGGAGTGAGGCATTATTGCTTATCTCTTTTGTTTATTGCATTATTTATTGGATTATTCACCCTAACGTTCAGTGTTTTCTGCTAAGAAGAATATTCAATATGGTTGAAGCATGTTGGTGGAAAAGAGAGGAAAGAGTATTTATGCAGAAGGTAAAAAGTGCGAAAGCTCTGAGGTGGGAGCCCAATACCTCTAGAATGGTGTGAACAAGGAAGAGATTAGAAAATTAAGTCAGGTAATGCAGCAGCATTATTGTGTATGATCTAGAGGCTGCTAAAATGGTTTTGGTTTACTCATTAAGATAGGAATCGGAATGACATGATCTGGCGTAAACATATAATTCGTATATATGTTCTTTGGCCCCTAAATTATGTAGAATAAAAGAAGAGGAAATAGCTGTTGCCCATTTCATCCTAAAGTGTCTGTGTGTGTGTTGATCAAATTAAATACTTTTAACACTCAGCTCTCAGAAAACTGTCACACTCTACAGTATAGATTGATATTTGATTATGTGCAATTTAGACTGAAACAAACCAAGACTTTTCAACCCCACCTGAGTACAACAAAAGGAGGAGTATCCTCATTTCTCAAGACTGCCATCCAGTTCCCTAATCTGCCATTCATTAGAAGTAAAGCC